ATGTTTTCTCCCTCGGTTGATTCTAATTCTTTTGTTCTACGAATAGGAACATCACTTCGATTAAAATTATATCTATCGTTTCCTTTTTCTCTAATGCTCTACCATTTTGAAAATGAATATTTCTCCCCAAGATATTACTCCTACAGTAGTGTTTAATACGAAGCGGATCTTGGATAAGGTGCAACAAGGAAAAACAAAATTTTTTAGAAAAACATCATTGGCTCCCAACTCTATTCTTTATAACTATTTATTATTTTATTGATGCTTTGTTCCAAAATAAATGCAACTAGTTATATGGTGAATATCCATCTTATTTATTGAATTAATTATAATATTCAATATTATAATTAAGAAGAAAGCTAATTCCTTGTTGCATGTTGCTATCCAAATTAAGATTAAGTCATTCAACGCACACACCTAGTTGTAAGAGTTTTTATAATGGTGCTCTACGAGATTGTCTATACCGTCGAATGCCGATATTATCACATGATTCCTCCGTTTTTTTTAAATATCAATTTTGTTGCTTCTTAACGTTAGAAAAAGGAATTGAGATATATTTTGCGCCTAGATCTTTGACTTTTGTTGATTAATCTTTAATGTAGCGTGGTACGGTCGCGTGTACTCTGCATTACTTTCCATAGACATTTTTCCAGTTCTGCAGTTGGTTGACCAAAAATTGAACTAAATAACTATACCAATGTAAACTTGGTTTTATGTAAAAAGAGAAAAGAATAATGCAAAGCACCTTTTCCATACCCCGAATATAACCAAAGGAAGTCTATGGTACACGCGGATATACACGCGGATATACACGCCAAATATTTTGCAGTAATTACTAGAATGTACAACAGAGATACATAAAGTGATAAAGGAAAAAAAAAAGAAAAGTAGATTGAATTCAATAGATTGCAATGATAACTTTTCGATAGCCATCGAGGATATTTGATGGCTGTAAAGATGATTATCACTATTAATATTCTTATTGTTATACCGATAGCCGTTTTAATGACCAATCGGGATGTCACATGGAAATCATTAAGACGAACTTTAATTAGAGTTAGTAGTGGATGGCTTTTAATTCGTGTCTGATCAATGTAACTGTTATAGGAATTAGTATCAAGTCGATATTTAGCTAAAATGATCTATTCCTTTTTTTAAATTTCTAATTAAATTACTAAATTAGCAATATTGTATCAATTACATTAATTATAACGTTTTTTTAGCTGCTTATAATTTTCAAACCAAATTAAAGAGGAAGATTAAACTTTATCAGATACGAGTTAAGGAGACGTATCAAAAACGAGTCAAAACGGCTTAATGCAATGAAAATTTTGTAACGGCACGAATGCACTGACGCATTGCCGGTTAGTACACGTAATTGAGAAAGTTCTACCGATAAGTTTAGAACTAGATACAATATCATAATAACGTTTACAGAATAATGATAACACGTTCACGATGGCGTAATTTTTCATCATTATATTCATTCGATATTGTTTTCGTGGTACAGTAATTAATACACCTTGTCGTATAATCACAAATTTCAAAACGAGTATCGAAATCCAAGATTATGCAGTGAAGTGTGCGCAGCTAACAAGAAGTCCCGCGAAGTCTTGTGGATGACTTCTTGTCAACCGCGCACAGTGTGTGCCCCGCAAGAAATCTTGTGAAAAAAATATAATCTAAGTGGCCAGAATGCAGCACTGACGGGCCTCTACCATCTATCAGTTAATCTCATATAAAACTAGAGAGCAGGGTAATGTGTCGAAAGTATTCCTCTTGTTTCTGTGCTAACCCGCGAGACTACTTCTGAGGCACGCACAGTTCATTAATCCAATAATTAAATTTTTATAGTCATACAGTAGATAAAGCAAACTTTTCAAACGAAAAGTTTCGTCTGTTTTATCACTGCCAGAGTATTTGAGAAGAAATGTAGATTTCTTACGGATAATTATTGATCACATTCAGATAGAGTACTGATTAATTGCATGGTTTCAATCTTACTTTTTAGTATACGCATACACGAAACGAAACTCCCATTCCCTTTTTAATATGCAGAAGAAAACAAATTATTGTAATAAAAATCATTCCAGTACTTATAATTAATAATAAAATAAGTATGATAGAAAAATTATAGTATCAGATATCGATGTTCCCTTTCGCCATCGTAAACGTAATAAAGCTACTACTAATGGCTAATATACATTAAAAATATTTTATCTAAAATATTATTACCTTGTCGCTTGAAAGTTCTGTTAATCTGTATATTTTGTAAGCAAAAATTATCTATAGCGATTAATAAAGATATTATTAAGACAAAAATTATAGTTTTGATCGTCAAGGAATTAATTAATAATTAAAAAATATATCCTTAAAATGTTAGAATAAAATAACACGAAACAGCACATAAATAAACAATTAATTCTACCAACAGTCATATAAATTACTTCTATAAAACAAACAAAGAGTTGAACAAGAGTTGCACAAAATGTTGAACATTTGAATTTGGCGCTTGATTGTTCTGAATATAGACGCCATATTGAAAATAAATCAAAATCACTTTTCTCTATTTAAAACACTAAATTACCGAAAAGAAAGTAGAAAACCATAGGAAATTCGATATTATTTAAGAAATTATTCACATGAAAACAGAATAAACAAGAAAACTATCATTTTAATTCACGTGTACATGAACGGAATAGTCAAAAATATAGAAACCTATGTTTACAGTTTAAAACAATAAATTATGAGAAAAAAATTCCAAGAACATAAAAACTTTAATATAGTACAAGAAATTATCGATATAAAAGGAAAATAATTAAGATAATGCTGTTCTAATCTCAAATTAAATTCGTGACAGGAGTAAAAAATTTCAACTCACGCATTTCTGAAGAAAATGCCGTACTAATGCCAGAAATCAGGGATCTGGATGTCTCTTTAACTTCTCTTTGCACTTTATGTACTGCTGATATCCGAAACACAATTTAATTTAATATTTTAATACAATTTAATCTTACTTGTTACAAACACATGCACTAAGAACAAAGTTTCGAAGAGGAATGACGCACCGAGTCAGACCTGCGTATTCAGCCGATAGCGACGATTCTGATTGGTCGAAGTTGGACGATAAATAATTGCTATTGGTGGATATCTAAAATTGTGTAAATCAAAGCTCCAATACTTTTATTCTGATCTGACAATATCGCGTATGACATACGACATATGTAATATCAGAATGGTAAGAGGGATATGTAGCCCCCCCATCATCGGACAGGAATTTACATTGCATGGTAAATTTTATTCCTAGACTATGATAATAATTTTCAAAAATTGTCTGCTCAATGAGTCATGCTTGGAACTGCTTAGAACGAACCAGAGGAGACCTGCGCAGCATGGACGGAAAATTCATCGCTCGACACTACTTTTCTCTCGTTGAACAAAATAATTATATTCTCTGTTTTCTCTAGTTTGTCTTCTCTTTTAATTTTGTTTCTTGATCCTATTTCCTTTCCTTTTTTAATTTATTTATATGTCCTCGTCATAAAAAAATGTAAGGACTTATTTTGCGCATCTCAGCTATGTTCAGTAGACTCCTTTACCAGTACAGTGCCCATCTATAGCTTACACCTTACTTTGTGGACATATACATGGTAGACAAAAATGCATATATGAACAGTGGAAAAAACATGAAAAGAAATGATAATGTAAAAGAATATACTAAATAAAAGATCTCTGGATATGCACATTCGTGTCACAAACGTCGTTGACCACCTGCGTGTTGTCCTTGATTACAAAGTATGTAGAACCAATCAAACCCAATATGCGCAGAGTGAACGAAAAAGTGTTTACCGATAAGTATATTTTCTCATCACAGACCAATTATTACTATTTCGATGTTTTCATTTTGGCTATTATAAACATCTATAAACATGGAAACCAGATCTAATATTTTTGGACGCATCGGAACCCAACGGTTGCAAATGGCTGACATTACGATAGATGGCCCCTTGCTTTTGCATGCTTCGAAACTAACAATTCAAAACATGTCGGGTAATATAGACATGTACTACTTTTAACAGTGTCTGTTATTGAAATTAACGTTGGTATTTCATCTGAATAAACACAAGTGGGGTAAGTGTGAGAAAGTACGCGGGAAAAAAATGACTCGTGACCGGAGACACGCGCCCTCAGTTAAACTCATCCGGTAACCGTTTCGAGGCACGTAAGCGCGTGGAATTTCGAATTAATCGATAGCGTTGTGATTGTACATGTTTGTGGTGGGAAAATATCGTTTATAATGTAAAATGTGTTATAATACTTTCAATAAAAATTATTTCTACAAGTTATAACGTATATAATCACAAGAAGAACGTAAACAATGAATCTGTTGGCGCGGTATCAATTGCATGCCGCGTGCTTTTAGTGTACTTCGTTACGTGTTCGGAGTGGTACTGTGTAATCATAGAAAAAATTTAACGTAATTCAATGTTTTTGTTTTTTCTATTAAATAAATCGTAATTTAGTCGTTCAATTCATCGTTAGAAATGCGATCATCAATGAATTAGTAGTGAAATTAACCCTTACGTTTCGACATTCCTGGAATTCGTGCATTTGTAGTACGTATATATCTTAAATAAGAAAAAAGGACACCTAAAATTATTATATTGCGACAAATTTCGTTTATTCTAATGTAATTATTCGGATAATTTGTGCAGTAATTGTATTAAATTCATGATATTATTAAAAAAAAAGTAATGTGATTTTTTTATATTTTCAATAACAAAATATAGTGAACTATTTGTTTACTCTTTGTAATGTATATTATAAATTTATTACTCAGTAAATAAAACTGAAATTATTATTTATTTATTAGTTTCTAGATTTGTGAAAAATAATTAATTTTAAACATTATTCTTTTTTATTAATATATTTTATATTGTTTTATATGTCATAGGAGAAACAAATAATATAAGTCTGAAGTCAAATAAAACTAAGCTAAAATGCCTGCTGTAAGCATATGTGACCCTGTTGCGGCCACACTGTGTCGTTCTTTGGAGACTAACCAGCCTAAATCATCGGATGATTTATCTTCATGCTTGGTTAACAATGCATCTAGAATTCTCCAATCAGAAATTCAATACAAGGAAGTAGATGATTATCAAACAACAATTTTGGATCAACTTAAAGCCAAATATATTGTATTGAGCTTGCCAAACTCTGAAAATTTAGATGGTAAAACAAAAGATGGAACAAATTGTATAAAAAGAAATGAAAAAACAAGCAAAGGACCCAGTTTGCCAGAACCAAGTGTTGTTTTATATCCACCCAAGAAAGTTAGCCTGGGTTGGAAAGAGACATTTCCAGTTGGAGCTGGCATGTATAATGTTGGAAATACTTGTTACTTAAATAGCACTCTTCAAGCTCTGTTCCATATACCAGCGCTTGTTAACTGGTTATTATCTGATTCGCATCATACATCAAAGTGTGAACAAAACGGTGAGTGTTCAAAATGTATAATTTTCTATTCGTACTCTATAAATGAAAAAGAATTGAAATTATAATTCCACAGTTTTGTATCGTATTTTGATAATAGGATAGTTTTAGATGGAGGTGGAGAGTGCCTTACATGTGCAGTGGCTAAGACCTTACAGTTTAGTCATCAAAAATCGGGATGTGCTATCAAGCCGTTTTACATATATAACAAATTAAAACGTAAGTATTGAAAATTTTAAGATATTATTAAATCGTTATTGAAATAATAAACATTTCATATGTTATTTGGATTTATTCCTTAGTTATTTGTCGAACCATGGTGCCTGGGCAGCAAGAAGATGCGCATGAATTTTTACGTTATTTATTGGAAGGCATGGAAAAAGCTTATTTAGCAAGACATAAAGCCAGCAAACTAGACAGTTATTCTAAAGAAACAACACCTATTAATCAAATATTTGGTGGTTATATCCGTACTGAAGTAAAGTGCCTACAGTGTCGGCATGTTTCCACTACATTTCAACACTTTCAAGTACGTTTAAAAATTAATTTTTAAATAGCGTATTATGCGTAGGATAATGTAATCGTATGTTTAAATTTTTGCAGGACTTATTAGTAGACATTCGTAAAGCAAATACTCTGGATGAAGCATTAACTAGTTATTTTAGTCGTGAACAACTAGATAACAATGACTATAAATGTGAAGCTTGTAAAAAAAGAGTTCCTGCTACAAAACAGTTTAGCTTAGAACGACCTCCTAAAGTGCTCTGTGTGCAATTAAAGAGGTTTAGCGTTCTAGGAGGAAAAATATCAAAACATATAGGTTTTAAGCAGACTATAGATATGGGTCCTTATCTTTGGAGAGAACCTGGAGAAGCTGTACAACCACTTACATATAAACTTATGTCAATAGTTACACATATGGGTCCATCGGTAAATTGTGGGCATTACACAGCAGTTGCTAAAGTTTCAACAGGCCAATATTATTCCTTCGACGATTCTTGTGTACGTATTACCAATAATTTGGCATTTATATTTTATCGAATTATTTCCTTGTGCATAGTGATAATATTTCTATTCGTTATTTTTATACAGGTTCGTCCGATTAGTTTGAATAATGTGTTGAGTACAAACGCATATATAATGATCTTTGAAATGGAACAGCAAACACCAACTCCGGTTCAAACTCAGCAGACTGTCAAATTAAATGGTACAATGACTGTAAACAATACGTTATCGTCACCGGGAAGTCCAAAGAATAAAACTGTAGCTCCTAAACCATCAACGTCTGGATTAATTTCACTAAACGGATCGCTCAATGGTACATCAGTCAATAAAGACAATACTGAAAAGTCCGAAACAAGTTTGCAAGCATCGACGAACAAGAGCGCGGTGCTTCAATTCACTTCACAGAAGAGCACAAATTTTATTGGACCACAGTTACCGCAAAAATTACAGGATAAATCACAACCGAGATTAATTATGCATATTAAAAATGGAAAAATCTTAAATGGGAATAGCTTAGTTCCTTATGACGGATCCAGCGAAGAAGAAGATGTTAATTCCATTGTACCGTTAAAAAATCATACAAGTTCAAGTACTGCACCAAAAACGAACACATCTACTAGTGCCACTAATGGTACACCAAAAAATTCTCCGATTAAAAATAACTTGCCGAAAACAGTTTTTAGTTCAAAAGAAGTACAGAAATTTACGTCGAAGGCAAATGGTGGTAATAATGTTTCACAGAATCAGAGTAGTATAACACAGTGTGCAAAGGCACAAAATGGTTCCAGTTACAGTACCACTCCAATAATGTACCAGAACGGTAAATTAGAAGCAAATGGTAAGACAGAAAGTAGTAGCACTAATAAAAGTAAATGGCATCATTCTGTTAGAGCGAAAACAGGACAAGACGAGAAAGTAATTACTAAAGCTGCAAATAGCAATATGAAAGGTTGGCAAGTTTCAAAAGATACATTTTCCCCTACGTCGACTGCAGCACCCAATGGGTGGTCCGTGACTGATAAGTAAGTCTTAATAATTGCTTATTAAATATTATTGCTCTTACCCGATTAAACTTCATGATACATGAACAATTTCTTTCATTTTTATAGAGAAGACGTAAATAAAGTTAATCAAAACAGTACAACACCTAGTGTTGCAGCGTTAAGAGATTTTAATGGAACAAATCGTTCCGACACAGTTTCGCATTTATTAAAGATGTCTCACCGTGGTTACGGCAGTTCTTCCGGTCAGTACAACCAAAGAATTCTATCGAAGAACCCGAGTCCAGCTCCTTTTCCTTCAAAATCTTGTGCGGTCAAGCATTCTAAATCAAAAAGTTCAACACTGAACAATAAGGCAAACGTACAAACAACGGAAACCTTTAATCCAACTACCCTAAAGCCTAAAATACCGCTTAGAGTCTCAAGAAAAAATTAATAGTTTTAATAATATTTTAAGTGTGGTTTTAAATGATAAATTGTGGGTAGTACCAAAATATGGTTTTTCAGTATTATAATTTATTAAATTGAAAGTATTTCTGTCAAATCTCTTATTACAAAATTATATTAAGTATTAAGATATTGCTATTAAATGATGTGTTTAATCACAAGCCAAGCATAAACCTTTCTGTTTTAAAAGATTATTTACACTAATTTCTTCTATAAAATTCAATATAATGTATAACGCGTTTATTTATTTACAGTTGTAAATTGGAATGGTAACAGGACACATTTAGACAGAGAGGTTGACAATGATAGACGAGAAGAACGTAAGCGGCATTTCAATACAGACGATGAGGAGATAGATCGAGGTAGAGTGAAAAAAGTGAAGGATCATCGAACGTACGAAGATAGAAGCAATACTGATTATAATCCTTTTCAAGAATATCAAAATAGCAAAACATGGAACCGAGCTTCCGGTGGTGGTTATTACCGGAAACATTATTATAATACTTCTAGCTATACTCGGTCACGGCATGGTAGAAATTATAGGCCTCAACATTACAGATACCATAATCATTCTCATGGCCATTGGCAACGGGGATAAAACAGGACAGGTTAAATTATTGGGAGAAATTCTTGTTGTCGAAAGACTTCGTTAGTTTTGAATTGCTAAAGCAAATAATAATTTTTCAATACATTTAAATTAAAGTACGGATGTTAGTACCGATTTAGATGATTAATTTTGAAAGTTATTCAACATTCATTGTAAACAAGTCGCTAAACCGCATCGCGATAACTTTGCATGTTCCTGACAGAGTTTGAACGTACTCTATCGTTGTCTTGTAGCTTATATTATGTCTATTGACAATGTACTACATAGTACACGGGAGATGAGTACCAGCAGCTCTGCCAATTTTGTGTTCAAAGTGAAGCAAGCAAAATTTGTTATAAAATTGTGCTACAATACGTGTATTATTAATTTAGACTACGTATAGTGTATGTATGGATGCAATGTTTCAAAGTTACGTGAATAATCTTTAAAGTTTAAACGATATATCACTTAGGAGTTTATCAACTCTTAAATACATTTTTTATGGTTTACATTTTTTAATCGTAAAATTATGTTCTTGTTATTTAATTGGCATTACATATTTGTAAAATAATTTAACGATTCTATTTGTACGATAATACAGAAATTTTTAATGATTTGATATTAATATTAATTATTAAGACTATTATTATATTGGAATTATAATTGAATTTAATTAATGTATATGCATAATTAAATGACTTTAGTTGCTTATAGAAATTAATGGGTATCCATACATCATTCAACAGAAAAATTCTGCAGATATTAAGTGAAAAAACAAAATTAAATTAATTTTAATGTTACAGAAATAGAATGGGATAAAGATTTATAATTTCATTTTCGTAGCATAATGATCCGTCCTTTGTTTTAATCAGCAAAGACACTCCTCTCTCTCTGAATTAGAATAAAATGAATCTAATCAAGCGATGAGTATCGAGAAATATGGTGTTCACGATTGCTTACTGTAAAAAGAAATTTATGATTGCAATGATCAATCAGTAAGCGAAGATTTTCTCTTAAATATATTTCCATGATTACATGTGACTTTGATTTTTTTCTTTTTTTAAATATAAAATATACATATACATATATAAATATAATTCCAGAGCGAGTGTGGAATGGAGAGTGTTTAATGATAATGATTAATAATACCAAGTTATTAAAATATAAATTAAAGCAAAAAAAAATTGTAAATTATATAGATAAATGTAAAATTTTAATATTACGGATTTTTCATAGAGCATTAAGAGTTACAAAGCCATAGATAATCTGTTAGGTCAAGTATAAAAGAAGCTGGTTGTTTTACCCGCTTGTTATAATATAATACCTCGTTATATTATTCTACAAATTAAGTACTAGCCAAAATAAAAACAACAAGCATACGTTGCAATCTGGCAACTGATACAGATTTTATAATTCCTAATTTTTTTTATTTTCAAAGATACATGAATTTGAAGGATGCACATTAGACCTGTGTCTTTATTTTAAATATTAGATGCAAATATTAGTGTTAATAAATAATCACATTAGCTTAATATTGCGGTAAATGTATAATTACCGTGATATAGCCTTACGTTAAGCACGATGTTCTTACTGTCTACTGCGATACACAGTAAAAAATGGTCTTCGTAACATTCAAATACATGTACTACGTAAAAGAACAGAATTTGGAAGTTTAAAATCGGTATGTCTGTATTGTAAACGTATGTGATATCGACTGTACAGCGACAAATAGCGAATAAATGCCAGATTTAATTTATGTACTAATTACTTTAAATAAAATGAAAATGTCGTTTGTACAAATATTTGAAATATTACTGTGGACAAAGTAAAACGGGTAATAAATCCATAGAAACCGATATTCATTATATTAAAAAAAAAAGACTAACGCGGTTTCCAATGAATATAATATAAAGCTGATGGATGCACGTAATGCGTTTTAACGTTTTGTTAACATGTCTTATCGTTAGAATATTGCTATAATTTGTGATAAAGGCATTCTATAATTTTCAAATGGAGCTTGCAATAAAAAAGGAGGAGCTTCCCTGCAACGAACTCATGAAAACACTCGAAAGAAATGTGAGTAAACAATTTAACTCTTTCATGTTTGGAATGTTATCAGTTTCATCAAAATTATTATTATAAAAACACCTAAAAATACATTAGTTTCGAATATATTTTTTAAATAATTGTTTAACATGAAAGAGTTAGTGAACAAAACAAAAATTAAAAAAGATTAAAAACCGATACTTGTAAAAATGCAAGAGAGTGTATAATTGAAAATAGACCACTAGATATAGAATCTCAATATTTATATAGGTAGCTATTTTAAAAATAGAGAATCATTATAATTTAAAAATCGGTTATGAATTGGAAACTAAGCTCACATGGTACAATAATGTATCACGTGGCCTCGCGGATAAACTTGATTCCCTATGGAAATTAGCTGAAGCACACCACTCATCAGGAAATGAAATAAAACAATTCGCAGATCAAATTTCACATTCATGGACTTCTGTGAATCGTCAGGTAAAACATGTATCTTTAGAGTATAATTTTCTTTTTTTATTTTATATTAAGTTTGTCTTAAAAATAGTGTACAAAAATCCAGGTTCTAAAAAGTTCTGAAAGAACTGTCTATGTATATTCGAGTTGTACACCATTTTTGACACACTGTAGAATTTTGAAAATAATTTAATCATACGTTTGCATAGATTTGCGACAAGTATTCTAAAATTCAAATGGCCAGTCGAACGTTACACGGTGTACCATTATCAGTTATTCTTGATAAAGTAAAGAAGGAAATTATCTTATTAAAAAAATCGCTTAAAATTAATCAATCTATTTATAATAAAGAATATATCCGAAAAGGATACCAATTAATTACAGAAAGCGAAGAACTTATACATAGTTTAAAAAAGTGTGATAGTAAGGTAAAAAAATTGCTTAGCTTTATATTAAGATAAATTATCGGGAATAAAAGAATAGTTTAATATTTTGTTTTCATCTTACAGTTACAACAGTATTTGTCTATAACAAATATCACTCCGCATCTTATTAAATTGGAGACTGCAATAGACAAATATGTCACTAATGTTGAATTGTTACCTGCACAGAAATCGTTTTTATCTGATTTAAGCATTTTTTCGTTAGTTATCAAATTATTAACCGGTGAATTACTAGATCATGAATATATTGATCCTAATTATGTTCTAATGGAAAATGTTCCGAAGAAACCAGTTTTCATTATCAAAAATACTAAACGTAAAACGATTAATTCTTATTATCCAACGTAAAAAAGTGTTTATTCTGCATATATTTATTCATTAGTTTAAAATTTTTACGATAAACCATTATATTCAGAACAATACATGATTATTAACAGCAAATAAAAATGAATTTATTTAATTAAGATCTTTATTGGCTTAATGAATGATATTTGGCAACGTGCTGCACATTGGGCAAATAGAATTTACATTGATAATAGTATTTAAATCCTTAATGATATTAGACATAATATTAATTTACAATGTACAAACATATGATAAATTGAATCCTGTTGAACAGAGAAATGACTTAAATAATGAGCATGAAATATTTGGAAAAAATATAATAAAATGGTATGTGTATATATATATACATATATAATAATAAAAGTGAATAATACGGGAACATTGTTAAAATAATATCTTCTATGTGAAATATGGAAAGAAAATAATGTGATGTTGATGGAATGAAAACGAGATCTAATGTAATGTACACGTATACGACATCGCATCATTTCTACTATCAAAATGCTTCACACCATTTAAAAGTGTGTTGCCGTATTTTGATATTTGAAGACTAGATTAAAAAATACCCTCAAGATCTGGTAAAGAAGTAGGTGGTGCAAGTCTTAAAGAAAGATCTTTATTACGCATAAATTCTGGGGGCAGAATTTGTTTAGTTTCCTGTAAAACGTAACGTAAATTTAAAAATAATTAATCTTAACAGTGTATTCTGATACAATTTTTATCTAAAAAATTCACTTACATGGAATGATTTAGTAGTATATACAGTATTCGTAACAAGTGATGCCCATCCTTTTGTATTCAAACATTTATAACAACATTTAGGTTCTTCCAAACATTCAGAATGAAATCCATGACCACAACTGAAAACTATTATATAGTCTGTACATTGTGATAACAAATGTCTACATATTGCACAAATTATTGATGCACTGGCACACGCTCTACCCGCGTCCCTAAGATATATAAATTTTAATATTACAAAATTGATTGACGATATTAAGTCAATATAATTATTAAAATGAATTACCTTAGTGATTTTTTTAATGCTTTATGAAGTTCCAGACTGACCAAACGTGCTGTAGTTTCGACTAAGGTTTGTTCGTAACGAGAATGCGTAAGTACTCCGGATAATAATTGTCTGATATCACCTATCGTTCCACTTGTTGCTAATGGATGTTTCAGTATTTGTTCTAATACAGTTGACAACGCTGTTGTACCACTAAGAAATTCTAATGTAATTCTCAACAACTTTCCACTTAATTTTTCGACTGTAATTTATTGATTGTTAGTATTTATTTTATAAATACTATGGAAAGTAAACTTTTACATAAACACTGATACGATGATTCGAGGTTTATGTTGAATACTGTATATGCATGTTATATTAAAATACAGCATACCTTTTTCATCTTTACTATTCGAGTGTGTTTGAAGTATAATTTCCACAAGTGGCATCCAATCTAAATTTCCAGCAGACCGTCTACACAATCCCGCAAGCTGAATTGCAGTATGGATTGATGTATTTTCTAAACTCTTATTTTGACAATACTGAAACAAAATTATACCAAATTATTAGCAACCAATATTTGTATTTTTATATTAGTTGTATAAAATATATTCACCAATTCAAGATGATTTTGAAATTCTTTTATAAGAATATCAAATGCATCTTGATAATTTCCTAATTTTTCTAACATTACTGCTTCAGCATCTTTATGATTTGTCTTCTGAACAATCTTCAGCGCTTCGTTCAATCTACAACCATGAAACCCTTGAATATGCTCAATTACCTACGTTAAAAAAAATAGTTAAAAAAAGATTAAGAAAGAGTATATTTTAAGACCTTTATCAAATTTTTCACTTACACGATCCGGTCGTAATTCACACATTAGCTCTAAATATTTCTCAAATAATTCAGTTTTCAGTTCAAACGTGATATCCTCTTCTTTGTATTGTACTATTTGATATAAAGCTTCTAGCAGAGCATATTGCAAGTTAGGAATACTTTCCAACTTTTCTAATATCTCGTCGACTCTGTTTGGCATATGCGTTGCTACAAGAATAGCAAATTGACTCGCATTGATCCCTACAAGAGCTTCAACATTGGCCATTATAACTGATTGCAATGAGTTCGCGGGAAGATTCTTTAACCAGACCCAAACGTCACGATGTCTGGATGAATGCGATATCATGCATTTGCAAACTGAAATCCAATCTTCCCTCGCACTGTACAGTAACTCTGCAACTCGCGTACTGCAACATTATATACTGCGATACAAGTTACTATGTATGATGCTATTAGCATTAATAATAGTATATAATTTATCGAGATTTAATATAAACGTTATTAATTTAATACTAACATCAACGTTAAAGAATAATCAATTTACTTACAAGTTAGCTCTTTCTGCCAAATTAAGTAAAGTATTATCTGATATATTGCGTATTTTCTTTGAACGCAACAATCCCAATATTGCGTCTTCTTTATCATCGTTAAGTTCTTTCGATGAGCCCATGCTTGAATCAGTACATAATATTTCTATCATTTTATTTAACATACTAGGCTCTAAATTAACAGTATTCTCTGCGACTTCGTTAGCTATGAATATAAGAACTAGATTTCTATGTTCATCGTTGATGTAATCAGGATTCCTTGGGCTTAACGGTGTACTAGGCATAACAATATTTAATAATATATCTATAAGCCTTTGCCGTTGTCTAAGACCCATTTCAGATGTAAATTCTGGTTCTTGGAAGGCAATCGCAATCACATCAAGGAATCCTTTTGCATCAAATTGAAGTAAAGTTCTTAGGTACGGATACTGCCTCTCTGTGTCATTAGCTAAGCTAGAGTGTTGTGAAAGTAAAGCTCTCAACACGTCTGTTTTCGCTCTTTGAGACATGCCTTCAGGAAGTTCGTCTCTGGGAAAACCACGACCGGCAAGGCAGCAGCTAGCATATACTAGAAGTGCATTACCAAGTTGTATGCTGTCTCGAGTTAGTCCGTCTTTCAAATTTGTTAATAAATTGTGTAAAATCGGCACTAATTGATGAATAGGAGCAGTGAAATCGCCTAACGCCGTCGTTTGAAGATGTATTAGAGCTTCCCAAAGGCACCGCTGACGGCAAACTGTTGTTACCTATAATATTTTTAAGTAAATATTTCTTAAACCAACTTTTCTATAACCAATTAAGTTAATTCTTTTTTACATAGTATTACACATTTTACTCACTTGATGAATATCTAAACAATCAACGTCTAATAACACTATAATTGCTTGAAGTGAGTCTATTTTTTCCTCTTGATCATAAAGAGTAACTAATTGTTGAGCAATCAATGGTGGTAACCGAGGACGCAAACTTCCATCTAATAATGGACTTTCAAGAGCGTGTAAATAACTCGCCTTCAATCCTTCGGATTCCGAGACTAAATCCCATAACTTTCCAAACAATAAATCTGTATTTTCTAGTTGTATACAATAATCCACACAAGTGGTGACTATTTCGAACTCTGAAGTTTCATCTGAACAGCAATGATTCAATTCTTCCATGTACTGAATTAAAACCTGACAGACTTTATCACGAGCTATTTGTTTACGACGTTGCTTCGAACCGCGAAGACCGACAACTGCTTTCCCTTTGTCTTGATAAAAAGAGAGTCCCAATGCTAAAGCTTCTGGAAATCTTCTCTGAAATGTTAAAAAATTAACAATTTACACAGAATATAAAATTTAATTCACTATAATGTACTAACCTGTATCGTCAAGTGTCTCAATCGTTCTGTCCACGTTCGAATACAAACTACATGTAGACTTTTGGTACCCAATAATAATAGTTGGGTACCAAATGTTACCACGGTATTATAACATGCTCGTTCACCAGCCAATGCCATTGCCTAATTTAAAAAATAAAAACATGATATTAACAAAGTCGCAGTGTCAATAAATAATACTTTATTTTCGAGTACCTTTGAAACGTTTCCACCGGTGGATAAACCTTTAAAATGGCTAGATGCGTACGAAATACGAACACGACTCATATCTAAAGTTTCCAGATTGTCCTGTGCTCTTACATCAACTAAATGTAATCTTTCTTGGGTATCCAATACTGCTAAAGATCTTGGATTCAACCATCGTAAATTACTTATCGTGTATGGAAAAGTCATTCTTCTTAACGGAAATAATTTTATTCTTGAACCAGCTTCGGTACATACCTAGTAAAGCAATTAAATTGATATAAACTTCACGATAATGTAGTTATTTGATAAACAAAATTATACGAGATTATTACTTGATAAAAGTGAACTACGTCGTCTCTTGCAAGAGCCAAAACTGGATCAATTACACGAGAAGCATCTGCTGCTTGTATGACAACAAGTTGCCAAGATAATTGTGGTGGTGCTATAGGAGCACCAGATAAAGGATGAGTTAACACAACACGCATTCGCGGCCTTATGCAAACTACTATTACCTAAACAATTTAAACGTTACATAATTATATAAGTATAATATATCTTTGACCTTTCTTTAAAAAAATATTGAAGAACCTTTGATAATGTTGCCATTGCTACTAATGTATAATTTTTCAAGGGATGCGACGGCAGATGATTTAATAACAAAGGTTCCAATGTACACACTTCACCTCTAGATCCACTAAATAAACATCTACTATCACAACCTCGTACTCCCATAACTCTCGTAAAGATTAATTCAAAAACCGATCCACCGCTGTCGCTGCATAATGCTACCTTAGGTGAATCTGTAAACTATAAAGGATAATGTAATATACTATTAATGAAAGAAAGTATGTAACATCATAAACCAAACTGATTATACTTTAACGTGTAATACGGCTGTATCAAGCGGATGTACATCGGTAAGCGTTCTTAATACTTTTCCATTAGAGCTATCTATCATTAATATGTGACCTCTAGCAAAACCTGCTAGAACTCTACTTCCATCGTAATTAAAACATAAAGCAGACACTGATCCCTGATGTCTTGCCTCTTGATCACACCATCGTAACGTTTGCGACGAATCAAAGCCTAATATCAGTCCATGACTAGTTCCAACTACTAGCATATTCCCTCCAGCTGCAACTGCACTCGCTAAGCCAGCATTCACCTTTTCCTGTATAAAATATATTCGTTTAATCATTCTATTTATTACTGTTTAAAATTATAATCATTTTTTCTTACGCTAGCGGACACAATTTGTGATGATATTCCTTTTAATATGACATGTCTTAAAATAGTCCCAGAAGATGTTGATTGCGAAGTTTTGTTCGATTTATTTAAAGAATTTAACGATAAGTGACTTCCGACGCTCGTTGTTTCGCTACTACCTAATTTTTCACCTGGTGTTAAACCAAAGTCATTGTCTGTTCCAGATAATGAAGCACAGTCAGGTTCTGTTAATATACTTTCTAATGAAGGTAATTCCTCCACAGCAGGTATAGCATATTCTGTATTGTCCAACTGAAATAGTAAAATGTAATTCAAATTTATAAACTATAAGATTTGGTGCCTTCGAATGATAATAATTACTAAATTAAATAACAAAATGAGTATATTTAAGTGGTATACATATTTATTTAAAAGTTGAGTAAACATAAAAGATAACAGTACGACCTAGAAACAAGATTCAATATTATTATAAAGAAATCTATTAAGGATAGATCAATATTTTATTATTATTATAAACGTAAGATAAAAATAATAATTGATTAAATGAAGTAGGAGAACATAACCTAAAAAACTTTATTGGTTTAAGTACAGGTTTAGGTATTTACGTAATAAACTCATTTGACTACCTCTTCAATATCTAAATTAATAATCTCTGTTGCAAGATATTCTTGAGACCCAGCATCCGACCCCAACCCATTTTCAGCCATTTTTTATTCCACCTGTCATTCCACAGCTGATGCACGTAAATATAGCAGCTCTCTATCGAACTGTAGAACATACACTGTTATTCATGTCAATTTTCGTATTTCGTTAGTTCCATCTTTCTGTCGCTAGATGGACGACAATTTTTTGGTCCATAAAATGGCTATTTTTCTTATTTTCTTAATTAAAGTTTTAAATAGAATGCGAGGGCATTTTTCCTGTGTATTCGAGGTCGTAGAATCATTTGGCCGCCTTGGAAAAGTCCAAAAGTTCCTTATTTCGCCAAAAAACGGCATTTTCTATTTTATCAGTTCCTAAGTTCGCCGATAGATGATCCCACCTGTACCGTTTTCGGCGAGGAGGAAGGTTTTTTAAACTACAAATTGAATTTTTAGTTTAGTTTATTCAATACAAAAATTTCAATAAAGAAAGGGCAAGGACAAAATTTAATAAAACCTACTAAATGATACAATTACTAAATTGGTATACGTTATTAGATTTCTGCTTAGTCTCAACGCATGAATACTAAAAATAATAATCTTAGTACCTTTTACTTCTATTTAAGCGTATCAAGTTTTAAATTTAAACTATACAGCTAAAGCTATAATTAATTATAAGATAGTTCGTATTTTGTGCTCGTTATTGATAATATCGTACTTGATTCAAATACCTATCCTTATCGCTATCACTAGCCTCTAATGGTCGTTTATTTCGTTATTTTTTTTTTACAGTACAAAGTTTACTCGATTCTCGAGTTTTTTTTCGAATTTATAAAATATAAATTCGGGAAACATTTGCGCTATACTTGATCCGATAACTAAATAATAATATACTTTAATTCGTTTTTCCCGCAAAAACGTTTCCCGCGCAAACATTTGCACACAAGTGGTGGGGAGCCACAGACCTATATATGTGGAATCCCCCTACCGTACATTGCCATTCTCTTTGGAGTCACCTATGGGGTAGGCTACGCGGAGAGTATGCTTCTCTGGGGAAGTCTACCATGTTCGGTACTGTACATTAAACGAATTACAAATTTTTCTCGAAGTAAAATCATAAACAATCGTGAATCGTTCTTAATATTTCCATCTACTAATATCATTCTGTAATAAGATTCCAATAAATTTGGCTGTTTAAAATTTAACATTAGATTTTCGCGATTTCTTTGTACTCTAATTGAAATATCTACACCAGGCATGCACAGTAAACAATAAAACGGTCGCCCGAGGCGGCCAGACTCGAGTTGTTTTCTTAAAGGATGACTATAAAATTAATAGCAATTTCACTTAAATAATTGCTTCTTATTCAATTCGGACAATATTTATCTTATTTAAAACAAAAATTATCATGTAAATTTATTTATTAAGAAATCTTTGTCTCTGACGCGCTCGGGCGCCCGTAGGGCAATCTCATGTGCAATGCCTGGTTTACACGGAAGCAGCAACTTCCTGTTCCATTTCGTGTAGCATATTGTATAATCGAGTTTTTAAACTATCCGACACCGCGGCACGTGGAAGATGTTCGACATCACCAGCTGGATTTGCACATTGCCTTAAAAGTACTGCCAATGTGCTGGTGGTGTGCTCTGACATGAGTAGTCCAGGAATGATGATAGTCCCTGAAAGAGTCCAGCCGAGGAATATCTTTTCGCATACGATCTGAAATTCCATAAAAATTGATTAAATAATAGTATTTTCTTTATTAAATAAAAATAACTGTTACAACTAGCAGTCGAATTACTTGTAAATTATTATTGGCGACCGGGGACTCGCAACGCTTGTTCTTCGAGCAAAACGACCTGCAGTCGAAGAAGTCGCAGTCCTCGTGTTTCTCGCAGCTCTTCCTGTCCGCCGTGATACGGTTGATGATCGTTCTAGGAAACACGGCATCTAGGTCGAGGAATTTCAGCTTCTGCCCGCCGAGGGGCAAACCAAAATGGTTTATCTTAACGTCGCACAAATGAATCGGCTCGGGGAAGTTGGTGTCGAGTTCCTCGAGCAAATCAAGGATCATCACGGCCAGCTTCAGCCGTTTTGCCCATTCCGGTTTCGAATCGGACAACGCTAGTACCGTCGTGGGTGTTTCAATGGGCCTGACGTACTCGACCGCGTAGAAGGTTCCGCACGTGCCAATCAGCTGAGGAAAAATATCCCTGTCCTCGTAAAGGATGCTCATCAGATACTCGTTCTCCTGTAACAACGGCCAGAGATTTTCCATCTCGAGCTGTCGTCTCGTCGACTCGGTCTCGACCCGATGCGTACGAAGTCGCATCAGCCTCTCTAATTGATGCTGCGACAGTGTCACGTTTAGTTTGCTAATAACTAGATCTTTGATCATGGTGCCGAAGTCCGTTTCAGACGGGTAGTGCTTCGCGCCAGATATATCTGTCCAGAATAGCGATTCGAACTGCTCCGACTGGGCCTTCGTTCTGAAACCGAATTCCATAGGTATAACACCGAGCATGGTAGACCTCCCTAGGGAAAATGGTGATGTAGGGACGATGGCTCCAAAGTTTACGGGAGAAAACTTTGAACTGATATTTATTATTTTTCTAGTTCTTCAAAATTCTTCCAAATTGTCGTTTTTAAAATTTTTGTAATTTATAGTATTATCCCTTAGCATGCATGCCATCATAAGACGACAAACCTAATGAACGGTTGTCGTCATAAGATGACACGCTCAACAGAGTAAAATCACGACGAAAGTATTGACCAGTTTAAGCTTCTCGCGATAAAAGTATTGATCAGTTAAGACTTTCAGGTCCCGGGTAATAAATGCAGTTCTGTCGAGATAAGGAGGAGTTGTAAATTAAATCATTAGAACGCAGTGATTCTTTGATGATGCCGGCACTTAAAACCGCATACTGCGGTTTGTTTTAGTGATACCGTGTTCTTTCACGCTTAAGTGATTTTACGATCTCTTTGAATCTCTCCTAAGGGTAGATCTACCGAAGTGGATCAACGTGTTAACGATTATTGGATATTAGTCTGTACATCGTAAAATAAATCGACGCTGTTTCTGAATGTTTTAATTTACGATCTCGTTATGTTACGGCTATGAAAAACAGGTAATATATAATAATATGAAAATAATGTAAACCTCGACGCCTTGAACATTAGTCGAGTTGTCTCCCAATGGGCAGAAAATACAGCTTCTTTGCCTGCATGGAGCGTTTCGCAGGCGAGCGAGTGAATTCCTCTTTCGGCGCACAATGGCTCGCACAGAATTCCTATTGCAGTCCCTTTTCTGTGCGTGCTACACTGAAATGAAAATTATGATCAAATACCGTAGCACTTTTATAAGACACAATTTAATTCGTTCAAATCGTTATTCCATTTTGAAATTTTCCCCATTTCTCGTGACGCCAAACAAATATCTTCTTATGAAGTATCTACTCTATATTGCACGATGCTTCAATTCCTATGTGATTTATGTCACTTTTACGAGTATTCTTTTTCGGTAAAAATAGTTACGTAAGATATTGAAGTGGGACAGAAAAGCTGTTAAAGCCGTTTTACGATGAGGGCTGTAATGTATATCAAGTAACATATCTTCGACGTAATATCATTTAAAATTTTATTTTTACTTTTCATTTTACATTTATACATAATTAGCAAATTAGAAAGACAATGGTATCTTCGTTGATAGTTAAATCGAATTAGGGAATCTTAAAGCTTCAGAAAACCGATGAAAATGAGGCTAGAGTTCTTCCATTGCACCTTCTTCTGAAAAGTAGGTTAAAGAGGGAAAGAAGGCCGCGTTAATTGGGAGTAAAGGGTCAATGGTTTAATTAAAAATCTTTTTTTGAGTATTTTCGAAAATTTCAGGAAACGTTGTCGAGAATAAATAGAAATAAACAAAGTAATTAATAAACTATGAAAAAAAAACAATTTTTGATTGTACAATTATAATTGCACCACTGACATGGCTTGAACATTTTTATCATTTAAAAACATTATACCTATAATCACAATTTTGAACAGTTTTGAAAATTACTACAAGAAGCATGGAACAATATGAAATTCAAAGATTGTATCTTTCTCGAAAGATTCTATTTTTTTAAAATTTAATTCACGTAATGATTTAAAACTGTTGGTCGATAATATGTTTTATTTTAAATTATGGAATACGTACAAAGGTTAAAATTCAGCTGAATAGAATTACAGAGGCTTCTTGCTTTAAGTAGTTAAGTAGGATTCGTGACGATGATGCAGTATATTAAAGACATCAAGGTTGAGAAATAAATTTCGTCTAGACAGTGCCATACGTTGCATTCATGGCATTGTATACATATAGCATCAGAATATTTAAATTCAAAAACAAAGTTGAAACGAAAAGTGCATATTACATAATTTGAAATTGCTTTTAAAAATATATCAATATTACAAAATAAATAAACAATAAAATGGTTACTGCTTGATGTTATTTTTAAGTTTAATCAATGCGTATGATTTTACTTTTGGTCTTATTTAATGTTGCAAATGGAAAAACATTAAATGACCAATAATTTAGTATGAAGAATAATAACAGTACTTTTTCATGACCTCGCGTGAGCTGGATAATATATTACGTAAACAGTCTCATTCTTAATATTCTGATACGATACTGTGGATCGAATACAATGAGTAGTGACACTGAGCTTACGTTCGATGCAACCATTCGCAACAAATTGAATTTATGTATATGCATGTTCAATGAATGTTGTTTACAGTCGAAGAATACTGATCAATTTATAATTAGCCTAGGAACAAAGTTTCTTAAAGTGCTTACAATTAGTTCAATCACAAATACATTTTAATTCTCTACGAAAAAGTATTGAGGTGCTTAGGGCGAAAATTCATTAGTTGAAAAGATATCTTGGGGAGAGACCATTAGGCTCTCTCAGTCTCTCTCTTTCCTACTTAATAATAAAAATCTAATCATTAAATGTACTAGAAAATTTTGTCATAACCGTATAATATTTCTAAATTACAAGATTTTTATTATGTTCATTATTGTTCCTAAAAATTCTGTGCATATCTTCATCAATGATTAATCACAATCCCAAGATTTCAAACAACTTCTATAGAATTGTGATCTATGAAAAGAGTTCTATTTTTCTGGAAAACAAGATGAAAATAATGTTTATGGACGTATTTATAGAGAGATAAATAGATCAGTAAACTCCGAAAGCAAATTCCGAAAAAAAACCCTTGCGAGCACAGCAGTTATGATCAACACAATATGGTCGAAACAGTGTAAACAGAAGCAGTGCAGGCACTCAGGCACGCAATGTTTTGATTCGACTTTCGTACGGATACGCGTGAAATTGGCACTCGGTAAGGCTGGCAGTCAGTTTCGTGCAGGCCGCAAGGGCGCGTGCGTGTACCTCTCAACCCCTAACACATTTTCTATCCTCGTTTCACCAGTTCGGGGGACCCTCTGTGATCCGTGTACGCGTGATGTCGTGGTACAGTGTCAAGATTGCATCGGTGTAAGATTGAAAAGAACTCACCACGTTGGATACGTGTCGCCAAGCCTCGAGATTCGTGCACATGATACCCCAGTGAAGAAGCAAGTAGATGACGAGGAGGAAAATGGAGAACAGGAAGAGAGTGACCATCCTGTAGTGGTACATGAAACCGGGCAAACGTCGGACGTTCATGATCCTGCGGATTCCGTTTCCTTCGGGTAAGTCGATCAGTATTTACGCAGCCGTATTTTCCCACTATTCTTTGTCGACGTTCTCGTTTCTCATAAGTTTGATCGTCGTCGACGTCCGCGACGGCGCATCGTGCCGACGCCCCAATTTTTTTAATCCCTTCGCGAACTCATTCGTTTCGTTTTCGTCTCTCGTCCCGACGATACGATCGTCGGCTGACCGGTGCTCTGTACGCTTGTGGCAATGCGGCATAATCTGCGGCACATGCGAGCGCCGCGACGCCGCGCCGCGACGCCGCGCCTCTCGTGGCGACTCTTCGGATAACCTCTCTTTTGCGCAGGCTCGTATTGTATTTAGACCTGTCTACGTAAAAATTCGAAATTCGTTCCCGACGTTTTTACGCTATGACGCTGTACTCTCGGGGATTACTTTATGGCTACGATGATTGGTCGTTAGAGCAAGATTTGAGGTTAGCTTTTAAGAAAGGTTATTTTCGGAGCGTCTCACGCGACAGTGCAAATGGCCAAATACGGATGGATTTGCTTTAGTAGGGATTATGCTTTGTTGGTGTTATGTTTTGCTTTTTTAGAGAGGACGGTTATTTCTTTTTGGGGTGGTAGTTATTGTACTGCTTAGTTGAGCAGTACGCTACTGCTGAGATAGATTGAAATTTTGTTATATGATACAGCAATGATAAGTATAGTGTATATATTGTCGGAAATAATCAGACGTTTATGTGATCAAATACTGCTGTCATGCGTTAAGGTATGCAATATCTGCAAGTAAAAATTGTACATGTGTGAGTTAGATATCTAGAGAAAGTTTTTATAATGGATTTATTCTTTTGAATTATCTGAGGACGTGATGTTTAATTGTAGTAATCAGAATATTGAGTATTTTACACACATATAAGTATAATTATACAATCGAAGAAAATAATAATGTTTAATCAAATAATCAACAGCATTTATGTGTTTACGTATTTCAAATTTTTTTTTTAAATTTACTAAAATACATCTGAGAAAAAAGATGTCGATAAATATTTACAAGGTTAATTTGGAAGAAAACAAAGCAAGGAAAAATTTAATTAGATTACTTTTAATTTTTTTGTTTTACAGTATACAAATATTTAGTTGCCAAATTATTTTAGTCACTTCTGTTTGCACAAAATAAATTATTATTAAAGTAATTATTAAGATATTTAGTTTCTCCACTATGCAATTTATTAAAAATAATTAACTATTATAGAATCATTAGAATTATATAATAGGGTAATAAATAAAATCAACATACAAATCCAACTCACAAACTAAATTCTTTTTTATGATTAATTTTCTTAATTAACTTAGACGATAAATCACTTGGTTTTTTAAATAAATACAATTGTAATATACTATTATTTCTATTTTTCCATAATTTAGTTGTCGAATTTGATCCCCAAAAATATTTTCACTGACAAACTTAATTTTCTTGACACAGTATGATGTCACTACTGCTGACAGCCATTACATAACTAAATTTCTGTACCAACGTCGTATTAATTAAAAAATTCTTGCACTATTAATCTAATGAAATTTCGTTAGAAGATGTACGATAAAAGCCTCGCTTTCACGCACCGCGTTCTAACTGCAACTGCTTTACATCAGTTGCTGTTGTAGGGATTTTTTTGCTGGCTCATCATCGTCGTGCATGTGCAACATTAAGCTTTATGATCGTGTGCAAACTTACGAATGTGTACTTCAAACTGGCCAGGAGAGCTTTAATTCGAAGTCCAGCTGGTGCTGCCTCCTCTATAGCACGCACATACTATGAAATAGATACAACTGAAATCTTTGCGATCAGTGATGCAATCGGTTTGAAATTTAAAAGGGGACAAATAGTTTTTGGGATTATATTTTTAATATATGTGATCTATTAAAGACATGTGCGTATCTAGGATTTTTGTCTAGGATGGGCTAGATTTCCTGGCTTTATTAAAAGTGTTCAGTGTCTTGCATATATTGTTTAATTTTAACATAGTTGGTATCCATAAATTCATGTAATAATTTTACTCTTAGAAGAATAAGAAGCTCCCAGTTGCAGTTAGATCGTTTCCTCTTGAAGTTCCACGCTAATTGACTAATCGCATTAATTTTCAATAATTAATTGCGGCAAAACTATGCATCGTATGGAAAAAGGATATTGGATTTTTAGTTTAGATTTTCATTCTCTATCAATTAGTGTAAATGCTGAGTAAATGCGATGCTTGTTCAATACTCTCTATATGTACAGTATTGAGCACAGTATTAAGCTTCTCTAGGGAAATGGCGTTACAGGGAAAGTAACTGGTGGGGGGTAACAAACCTATGGGGTCTTCTCCGCTACATTGTCATTCTTCCCGGGACCACCTATGGTGAGGAGCAGAAGCCTAGGGGGGACTACGATAGGGGCAGGGAATCCCGGAAATCCTGGAACCTGGAAAGCCGCGTAAGTCTACGGGGTGGACCAGGAATTCAGGAAATCCTGCAGGGGGTGGGAGAGGGGAATTATGACAAGGGTAGAAATTTTACAGTATCAATGATAATTTTGTTTAAAATTTTGTTTTATTAAATAATAAAATTCATTCTTCCATAACTTACAATGCAGCGTTCAAAATGATATGAACATACGTAATCTGAAAATTGTATACAAAGAGCAACTAGTAGTTGATTTTAGCGTGAATGCCCTCCGTTGAAATGTCAGTGCATGAAAGTCGACCGGATTTAGACGTCTTCCGTTGATACCCGTCTGTTGAAACGCGTGGTGTCGACTCGGAGATACGGTCGCATCTTGTAGCCGAGATTCGTGGCTGTTTCCAAATCGCGCGTATCGCGAAAGAGGGACGCACCTGTATGTCGCTTGGCGCGCAGCTGCGACCTTCGACGCCCTTGTGCCAGCGGTCGTGCAGCGACGCCCGTCCTCATCATTTTTACGCCGGACGTACGCACGGCCACCCGGAGCTCCAAACCGCTGCGCTCGGTATCTCGGCTATACTTGCCTATTCCGTAACGACGCAAAATCGCGCGTTCACCGTTTTTGTGTCGCGTTCTCGCGCGAAAACACCGTGCTTCCGTCGATGGACACCGGTACTTCCGGCTGAGGGCCTCGAGTGCTAGCCGCGTCGTCCTCGGAAGTGCATCTCGTTCTTCGGCGCTTTGGAAGGGGCAACAGCGAAAGGATCGCCTTGCGGAAAGTCCGTGAGTGTCGCGATGCACGCGCTCACTTGCACGTTTCTCAACCCTTCCGCAATTCATTAGAAAATTGTTTATCGTGAGAGAAGTTAAAACTGGGGATTTGTTATGAGAAGCATTGAATAGGAGTAGAAAATTTTCAAATTTGAAATGACAAGCTTTTTATTTCTTACTTTACATTATTCTATCGGTTTCATTCAATTATTATTAGAGTACGCGTAGTTTGTGGTGCCGGTCTTCGGTGACCTTCATGGCATTTAACCCTTGAACAGCGGAGCCTGGGTCAATCGTGACCCAAATTTACAAAACGTATACAAGGTATACAAAACGTAACCTAAAATTTAATATATAATATAATTTTTAAACAAAAGGGTTTCATATATTTGTAAAGGAACAGTAGAAAATTTAAAAATCGTGACTCCCTTCATGGTCCGCCGTTTGAGGGTTAAAACCTTGCAGGTCTTTTCTGTAGGTTCATTGATGCTGTCAACCCCTTCTATTTCAAATTTTTCTTCATTGATAAGAGAATGTGATGAAGAGAATATGATGCAATGCGAACAAGTTTTACATATATTTATATTGCGTTAGCGAAACTGTCATTCTATTCAGAAATCAAACTTTGTGAATTCCTAATCTCCTGATACATTTCAAATGAATGTTGCCATATGGGCTGGAAAGGGTTAACCCCCAGATAATGGTAATATTATTGCTAATCCAAGAGATTAATTTTCAATTTGCTTTCTAAATTTTATACTGTTGTTTTAGATATCATTTTTTATTAAATAAAAATCTTTCGAAGTGTTTAACGTTAGTGAATGATACCTGTGTATGTACATACGATACATGTAGGTATGGGTCACTGACTGACCTGGCTGTCATCTTTCGAGGGTTAATTGGAACACATGAGACCATTATTCCATCATTTGTTCATATAAGGGTTGTTCAAATATAAAATATCAGTTGCAGTGTTCAGTAGTATCATCTCTGTAATTCAAGGCAATCATGGTTGATTGGTCAGCCTTCAGTTACCATTAAGTGTCAAAACAAATATTGCTCTATTAAATCCCTACGTGCTTATGTGTTTACACTTTAAAAAGAATTTAATTAATAATATAATGATGAAATAAATATCATCCAAAAGTCCAAATATTTAAATTAAAAAGAGATAAATCAGCTTTGAAAAGCGTACTATTTCTATTATTTTTTCTAGTTTTTTTTTTTTTTTAAATTGATTAATGGATTAATTGTTGTGTAGTTTTTGAATTTTATTTTAATAATCTGGTTAGGGAGGAATGGTAATAAAAAAATTATAAACCTCCCCCATTATAAACCTTCTAATAAGCATTTAATTTAAAAATAACCTTTTTAATAAGCACATTTAATTTTATTTCGAACGAATATCAATTTTTAAACCAAGTTTATCTACCAAGGCAGATCTAGATAATTTGATAGCCCAGGGCCCCCAGAAATCTTAATTCGGTCCTGGCTAGGGACGACCTGTTTATATAATTAAATTTTTACATTGGAATAATTCCCATATTACATTTAATTTAATTACCTACCAACATTAAATCTATTACGAAATAGACGAAAAATATGTCACGTTGTACTTTTGTAGAAGTAGACTTATAAATAGCGGTAGAAGATACGCGCTCGTGATTAAATTGATGTATCTTTTCGCGTGCACTATTACTTTAACATTATGCAATGATTATTTTCGTGAGTGGAATTCAAAAAGTATTTATATTGTAATATTTCGTTCATCGAATGTACAACTGCGAACTAATATTTTTT